CCTGTTTCTCCACTCATTTTTCAGGTTTTTCCTTTGTCACCTGTCTCTAACTCGCTGCAAGAACTCAAGTCAGCGTGTCTATCTTTTAACCATTGCCGTGCACATTCCCATATCTGAATTTGGTGAGAGCATTTTCTGATACTAAGAAATCTATCACATCAAACTAGAAACCAGTCGGTTGGCCCCCATCAAACTGATCTAATTTACTTTACTTCTTAGTCAAAAGGTCCTTAATCAATTGCAATTCCAGAAAAAGACCCTGAGAAATGTACTAGAACATAATATACCGATTGGATTCTGCTGGTAATAATAGTCATGATGGATAAACGTCTTGAATTTTAGACTTTTAATGCCACCTAGTGGATGTAGGTTGCAAAAGTCAATATAACAACACTACTACCTCTGTGTCTTTCTTTGGTTTTCAGACTGAGCGGCGAGTCTCCATTCCAGGGAAACAGCGATGCAGAGACCCTGGCCTTGGTCACAGCTGCCCAGTGGGAGTTTGATGAGGACAGCTTTGATGAGATAACAGACGAGGCCAAGAATTTCATCAGCTCCCTGCTCAACAAGGACACCAGGTGAATTTATAAATGTAGCTACTGCACAGCCGACAGATACCAGCTTCACTTACCCACCAATAACCCTCCATTTTGCCTCACAGGCGGAGGATGTCCTGTGAAGAGGCCCTTGCCCACCCTTGGATGGCAGCATTTGACTCTGGAGATCTTGCCGCCACAAAGTGTCTGTCTAAGGAAAAGATGAAGAGGTTTCTAGCCAGGCAGAAGTGGAAGGTAACACATCAAACCACTTGACTTTCATCCAGCTTCTGGAGTTTGAAGTGTTGGTTTTGCTTTCAGCTACAAACCTTTCCGATGTTTGTCTCACAGAAAGCAGGTAAGGCCATGCTTGCCCTGAAGAGAATGGCTTTACTCTCCAAGGGTGACAGCTCTGGATCTCCTACCAGCCCTGGAGGAGGTAACACACAGTCTTTTATTATCTTCCTCTTATCAGAACCATTTTAGTTTCCTGGTCTAACCTGGCTATATAAGCATTCATCCACTTCCTCTTTCCTCCCCCTTCCCGTCCCAGACTCACCCCTAAGCCCAGAAGCAGAGCATGCCCTACAGTCTCTGGAGCAGAAGATGCAGGGGCCACCCCAGTTCACCCAGAGCCTGGAGGACCAGACGGTAGCTCAGGGATCCAGTGTCCGTCTCTCATGTCACCTCACAGGTACACAAATACCATTATTAAGCCTATTATTTTGAAAGAATACTGTGATTATAAATGGTCCACATTCAGTCCTTAAAGTCTTGCATCTTGCAATTACTTTATATAGACTTGTGACTTGACCTGAACCTTGATTTCTGCCTCTTTCCACTGTCCTCTCCCCTCCCATCTGTCCTGACAGGATACCCCGATCCAGAGGTGGTGTGGCTGTGTGGGGAGGAGCCTGTAGTGGAGTCATCCACGGTGCAGATAGAGTACGAGGAAGACGGCCACTGTACCCTGGTCATCGCCAAAGTTGGCACTGTGGACACCAATGTTTACACCTGCAGAGCCACCAATGACCACGGGGAGACATTCTGCTCAGCCAACCTCACTGTTCAACAGTAGATTCATTATATCTCTGTAGGCATACTATACATGACAGAGATATATAGTAAATGTATTATTAATGTTCTTGACTGCCATGAACAGTTGTACTATACATTCTTGCTTTGATACAAATGGGGGCCAAACTATCTGTGGCTGAAAATATATAACGTATGTATTACTGTACAAAATGTATGAACAGATGAATATTGTTACAGAGCTATAAGCATTATTTCTTCATGGGACTAGGATGTGGTTTTACACTGTCTTAAACCACAAATGTATTTCTTCCTTTGGCTCATGGGTGAATAAGTTTAAGACTCCCTTTCAAACCTGTCCCCTGGCAATATGAATAAATGAAGATATTCCTTTTGAAAAGAAAACAGGCCTTAAATGATCCTGTTTGAATCTCTTAGTGAACAGTTAATTATAAGCCTGGGGTCCAAATTTAAGTGCTGTTAACTTAGAAGTACATTACCTTTTAACGATAGGAGAGGATACACTCAAACCATCATATTGTCTGTATACATATATAGGCTTCATGTTATTATGTTTCCATGTTATTGACATAAGATATTAACACCACAGTTTTTAGTGATGCATCAAAATCACACCATAGCATTAATTAGATTTCCAGAGGTTGTGTATTGATCTGTGCTCGATCAGGTTTCTCATCAGGAACACGTGTGTGGACGGTGCCATGCTGTTGAGAGAGTAATTATTTTTTCTCATGTAAGCAAATATATTTTACCGCCTGACTTTTTATACAGCCCTGGAGTTCAGGTACTAGATCAACCCTGTCGTAACACATCATGTGGGTCTGATGGAGTTTGTCATGAAGTGCATAATGGTCGCTTGATCCGGTTGTCTGCTGTCTGAGCCACTACAGGGGCACCTTCAGTCTTTGACTTAGTAGCTTTGGCCAAGTTCTCCTTTGTCTGGTTTTCCTTCATGTGGGAGAAATGGGGGGGGGGTGTCAGGAACTCGTGCATTTGTGTGTGTTGCCAAACTGTGCGCACAGTCATACAGACAGATATTTGGGAAATGCTGTCATGACAAAAGAAGGTCAGCGAAATTGCTTGGACTTTCTGTCTGCAGGTTCAATTTCAGACTGTAAACAATGCTAATGAAAATGAAAAGAAGAAAATCTTGTCCATTTTCTGGCTTTTACTCAAGATTTTCATAGTCATATTTAATTCATACTCCCCAGAGGGACCCCAATTAGACCGATACACATCTGTATAGGTCTGTTGGTTCTTCAGTTTCTCCCTCAGCTGAATTACCAGATCTGTACAAGATCCACTCGTTTCAACGGCGTAACTTTTGAACAGACTTTGAAGAGTTGCTTCCTGGGATACATCAAACATGAGTGGCAAAAGTCCAAGAATTAGTTGTTATTCTTTGCAATGCTTTTGTTATAACATCCCTTACCGGATCCCAGTTGTTCATAAAACTCACCCTGCAGTTTGATGTTTGTTTCTGTGAATGTCCATAATTACAACAGCAGGGAAATTTGTTCAGAGCCTCATGGTGACAATATGCTTGGAAAATGATGCAGACAGCAGGAAAATGTTGATTGTCAATCTTTTCACACAAATAATATTGAGACAAATCTACCTCCATAGCAATCCATTTAAAATAGTTGGATGGCAGCTGCTAACAATATGGCAGACATCCACAATTGAAAGGAAATCACGTGACCACAGCAGCGGAAGTTTGTCTCCTTCTAATGAATTTCCGGGTGGCACTGTGTAAATCATAAGGCTGTCCCACACGGAGAAGGATTTGCTGTATATTCTTTATTCTTTTCAGACACAGTTTCATTGAATGAAGATTTTTTTCCAAATGTTTTTAATCCAATTTTTCTGCTTTATTTGATAGTGATAGTAGAGAGTGAAAGAGAAATGCAGCAAAAGGTCAGGCTGGTTTTCAACCCAGGTAATCTATCAGGTAAACTACCAGGTGATCTACCAGGGCACCCAAGTGAAAAAAATATATATTAAGACTGCTCTACCAATAAGTTGTAATTACCCTGTAATTATTTAATATGTGCTTAATATTCACTATGTAATGTATTTCTAAGTCAGGACTCTAAACATAAATTTGTGGCCTGCTCATTGCCTCCCTTACCTTGTACCATTGTTATTTCTAGCACGTAGATACAAGTGTCTTCTGACTTCTAATGTCATCACGAGGCTACAGAAGCATTTGCGTGAAACACAAAATTGTCACTTGAGACTTAATACTTCTGAGAATACAGACCACCTGTCATTGGGATTTAACAGCTAAAGCTGCAACAATTATGCCTAGTTACCTGATTAATCAATTTGTCGTTTGTTCTATCATTGATTAATCATTGAAATCATTTGTGAAGTGTTCCAATTTCACAATTATGAGAAGACATGACCTCAGGAAACTGTCATGGACGTTTCACTATTTCACTATTTTCTCACATTTTACAGCCTGAACAATAGTTTGAAAAAATACAGTTAATGAATAATGATGATCATTTTTTCCAGCTCTTGTGACAACTATATGGTGTATTCTTCATTTTACATCACCACAGATTTGGTTTGCTTGCTTTGGTCAGTTTATCCCAGATTGAACTTCTATATTGTATCCACTAGATGGGGCTCCCACCATGGTTGTGTTTTTCCCCCAGGCATACTAAAGCATTTTGGAATAGCATGTAGTTTGATTGGAAGAACAGGCTATAGGGTCTTTAATAACATGCTATATGTTTGTGTCCTTTAATTTCAGACCTCACGGATCATTTACTTCTCATACACAGGGTTCTCTTGAGTCCTGACTGCTGGCCTTTGATTTGTTTGCAGATGGCAATGATTATAATGTAATAACTTATATGACAAAAACAGGGAAATCCCCTCTTTACTTTTTCTTCTCGATGTTAAGGGATTGAACCTGTTGCTCAAGGACACTTCAGGGTGTGTGTTTGCTGCATTTAAGGGGAGAACATGAAACCACCATGCTGATTTTCATTTACTGATCAACCAAATAGCAATTTATGCAAAAAATTCAATCTGAGTGGCAAATTTTTTTTTTGACGCATAATTAAAGTGTTTGGAGTTGAGAGTTGAAATGAAGTCCCTCTGCCCATAACAATGTGTTTGATTAGGTTTGGATTCTTGTGCGAACGTCCTAATGGTGTGCATCAAGGTGTGTTGAGATTTCTGTATCAATGCAGGTAAACACAATCATTCTGCAGCTCCGTCCACCTGGGTGGCGTTACAGTGGGAGGGAACACAGTAATATTCAGAGAGTCCAATGAGGGTACGGTAATATGATGTGCGCCCCCCCCCGCCCCCCCCACTCCTAAGAGCCCTGCCTCCAAGCGGAGCACTGGGCCAGGCGCACCGGGTTGAAAGTCTGTGTGCATGTGGGGGCCCTTAAAGAGGTGCGTCGAGCAGACGGCTCAGACTTTCTCCGTTGAAGAATCAGCGAGATGAAGAGCAGCGCCAACCCGGCACCATGCGCTCCAGGCTCCCACGGACCGCCTGCCTATTGCGACTCATTGCACTCTGCATCCTCCTCTCGCACACTGCAGCTTATTTTGGGTCAGATAACGTCTTTTTTCTTACCTACGCCCATCACATTTATTGATTATCTTTGTTATTGTAATGCTTTACACGCTTTAACCAGTTTACGCACGCGTCAATTGCGCACAAACTATTGAGCTATATTTTATTTATAGTGTTGTTCAAAACTTCTAGAGCTTTGCAAATTATTATGCGAAGTTATTGCAGTTAACCATAATCATAACTATAGTGGTAATTTAAGACGCATCTCGATCAAATTAAGATGAATTTTTGGCTATTTTGAGCGATTCTCTTGGATTTGTTGGATTATCCTTTATTTTATTAATGTATACGGGTTCATACTGTTTGCAGTTTGGACATATAGTGGGGAAATTAAATTAGTTCCTCTTTTTCATTTAATTTATTATCAGAGAAATTAACATTTTCAAGTGGCAAGAGCGTAAAACAATTCAGCAACGCTCCAACGCACAATTTTGTCATAGTCACATTTTTCTATCAGGAAATAACGGCGGTGACAGAGTGGTTTAATTATTGGAGAATATTTCAGTATCATGCTATTGGCCTGTAGTTGATTTTAAACGTCGGAAAATGTTTTGCATTTTATCGAAGACTTACAATTTCTAACTGGTTTCTTTCTGTCCTCTCCAAGGCTGACAGGTCGGGAACCCTTGGTGTTTTTACCCGGACCGTTTTCCAATGAACCCCCTACGGGAAAGGCACACCTGAAGCAGTGCGAGCAGATGACTCTGACCAGGCGGCAGAAGAGACTGTGCCGCAGGGAGCCTGGCTTGGCCGAGACGCTGCGGGAGTCGGTGCGCCTCAGCCTCCTGGAGTGTCGGTACCAGTTCAGGAACGAGCGCTGGAACTGCAGCCTGGATGGCCGGGGAAGCCTCCTGAAGAGAGGTGAGCCTTTCATTCAGTCTGTACTATCGACACGCGTTAGTTTTAGCACTTACCAAAGTGATCAGTGAACGGTAGTTCATGAGTTCTTGTTGGGACCGAACAGACGACCTTGTCGTTTATTTGTCTCTATCTGTATTTTCTTTGAAGTGAAGCAGGTGCACAGCTGCACGTTTTTCTTATCTCCATCACTCACCTAGATGACATGAAGTATATTTTATGGAAAAGTATCAGTGTCTGTGAGAAGGATGTGCTGCGCCACATCTGCCTGCACGCTCCTGATGCTGAGGGAAACATCAGTTTATCGTAACAGCAAGTGATTAAATGAAGCAATTACAATTGAGAGGGAGAAATAGGATGAGTAAACGGATCATGACCAGTTATAAAGGTGTGAGACAGTAATTAGACAAGTTTCTGTAACTTGTCTTAATAATGAACATTTATATTCATGGTTTGACTCATAAACCACATGTAAAGCTGTTCTCACACTGGGGTGTAATGGTGTGTAAACACTCAAACTTACCTCAAGCATTTTCAAAGATACATTTTCATAGGCCTTTATTTATATGAATTATTTTTTTATTCATGTTATTGGTCAGCATCAAATGGATATCAATTGATTTATTATGTCAATTTCAAAATAAAACAATAAAACGTCTGAAACATATAAAACAAAAACAAAAAAGTGGCTGTTGTCGCCTTATGATGCAAATTTACCGACAGTTTCCTTTTTGCATCACTGATTTTACAACACAGAAATGAGCGTCAGATACTCAAATCACAGTACACTGTCTGAAGTCACTGTGGTGCATGTTATTCAAAGTCACAGCCATTCTTACAGCCACACTTCTGAAGGCTTTCTCTTTTATTTTTATGGTACTTAAGATGTTCTGCTACGTCACGTGATTTGATACAACCCCTGAAAAAAAGTTTTCCAGAAGTTGTCTACTTGAATATTTTTTTGCTTGGTACAACCATTGACAAACCTCAAAAATGAGATGTGTCCATACTGAATCGCCATATTGCCTGTAGCTCACATCCCCTGCATGTCTGCTGTGCACAGAAAATGCTTTAGGATCTCCCAGGCTCTATGCATATGGATATCAGTGTGTGGGAGAACATGAACAGGTCAGCATAGAGGTAATGAGGGAGTAGAAAGCCAAGAAATGTGGTGTGGTGGAGAGCGCTCAAGCCCTGTGGTTATTTTTATCTCGGGAAAGCGCCCATTCCCAGAGGAAAAGGGTGGCGTGATTACCCACTTTCATCTGGGAAAATCCTTCCTAGTCAAAATAATAATTAATTGGATCAAAATATACCCTGGTGACGGCTCTGGGTGAAGCAAATAACAGTGCGAAACCAAAAGGAAAGGTCAGAGCAGGAATTATGACACATGAAAATTTGCAGTATAATGCTGACGTTGTTTTAAACCATGACAACGTAGTGAGCGCTTTGTAAACATTTCGACTTAAAGGTTTATCCAGTGGCACAAAAGACATTGTGATGAGTGTAAACTATCAAATAATCCCTACAGCTATAATCAGTTTGCACTCAGAGCAGTTTTTGATGCCAGGAATAGCTCTTGTGTTGTTATCTCAGCAAATTCACCTCTTCAAATGTGTCCAGATAAAACTTAATTGATGTGCTTTTAATATTTTTATTTTCTTGACACACAGTTATTCTCTCTCCTCTGACGCCTTATCCATTTATCGCAGCATTCAAGGAGACTGCCTTCCTCCTGGCAGTGTCCTCTGCGGCGCTGACTCATGCACTCGCCAAAGCGTGCAGCTCGGGCCGAATGGAGAGGTGCACGTGTGACGACTCCCCCGGCATCCAGCATCGAGAGGCGTGGCAGTGGGGGGTCTGCGGCGACAACCTGAAATACAGCACCAAGTTTCTAAAGAAGTTCCTCGGACAGAAGAGGGTCAGCAAGGACCTGAGGGCTCAGGTCGACGCCCACAACATCAACGTCGGAATTCGGGTGAGTGTGAACAAATAAACGCAAAGAGTAGAGTAGAGAATAACACAGCAAAATAACCCACCTGCTCTCCTCTCTATCTTTTATGATGTTGCCACCCAAGCCCAAGGCATCAAAAACGTCGCCTATACCGGAGCCACACTTTGCTCAATTAGCTGGGCTGCAATTTTACATAACAATTATAGCTCTGGCACACTCCCGCATCATCAGAGGATACAGAATTGTAATCCTCACCTGCATAATTTTTCTCCGTGCCAGCCAAGACAAACGCCCCCCTTTATTTGCTGCCGTCGTCGGCCTTGGTGGATAGTACAGGAGGCAGAGGGTGAGGCGGTGCAGCAGGGAGACAAGACGGCTGGGTGATCGTCAGAGCCAGGTGTTTTCAGGCATGATAAAGCTTGCTGTACAGACCTACAGAAAATTAAAGGTCTCATGTCGGAGAGAACGATTATATCCGTGGCCTCTTTTTAATATACGAGCGAGCATTTTTTTCCACTTACTGGATCACTGTGCTCTTCATAAATCCACCTAATGTTCATAACCACCAGCTCTGAAATAGCAGGCCCCAGGGTCCTACTCCCTGCAGCTCACACCTAAGTTAGAGCCGGTGGAGACAAAAAGGAAAAAACAACACAACAGGAAGAACTGAGGGCGACTATCTTATCTCATCTTTACTGAGTTAAAAGTTTTCCTCACTTTTCACCAATGTGGCTTAGAGGAGCTGTGATAACAAAAACATGAAGTGGCACCCCCCTCCCCACACCTCTCCCATGCCTCAGTAATGGTGCTCTGAAGCCCCTGAGGCGATCATACCTGCAAAGGGAGGAACTGAGCAGAACTTTTCAACCCAGAAGTACCCTCTGGCTCTCTCTGTATGACCTGTCTCTGGCCCCTGCCAAGACAGCAGGCTGAGTGATCGCGCTCTCATCACTGACCATCAAACTCAGTGAACTATTAACCTATATCGAGGGGGCACCATTACAAACATTTTTTGGCACTTCTTGCACAGAAATTCTTATCAATGTTTTCCATGAGCAGGCATGTACTAAAAACAGGGTGGAGAGATTCCACCGTCTGCGCTGTTTGTCACCTCTGCCTCGGGCTTTAGCAAAGAGAGACAGGAGAGAGGCAGACAGAGCTAGTTTCGACACATTGAGGAAAAAAAAAAAGAAGTGCAAGAGCTGTCCAAGTGAGAAATGGGAGGTAAATGAAATACAGCATCCTGAACAGTCCCCCTCAATCCATTATATCAAAATTTTTGACTGAGGTGAGCTAAAGGCACACTTGCTGCAGACCACCACCCCTAACCCTCTACCCAACCTGCAGGAAACTGTCTCACTCTGTCCAGATAGACTTCCCAGATAAGAGGCCAGGTAATGAATCAAACTGAAGGGACTGACATCTCTCCCCCTCCCATGCTTTTTTTTTTCTCCCTCCCATCTCAGGCAGTGAAGAGCGGGCTGAAAACAACCTGCAAGTGTCACGGTGTCTCCGGCTCTTGCGCCGTACGGACTTGCTGGAAGCAGCTGTCGCCTTTCCACGACACCGGGCGGCTGCTGAAGTATAGATATGACACTGCAGTGCGAGTGCTGAGTGTCACCAACGTAGCCACAGGGGAGACCGAGCTGGCAGGGCCCCGTCGCCACGGCCAGAGCCTCCGCACTACTGACCTGGTCTACCTGGAAGACTCCCCCAGCTTCTGCAGGCCCTCCCGCTACTCCCCGGGCACAGGCGGCCGGTCGTGTGCCAAAGACACCAGCTGTCAGAGTCTGTGCTGTGGACGGGGTTACAACACAGCCATGCGCCTCACCAGCCTGTCCTGCCACTGCCAGGTACGCTGGTGCTGCCACGTGGAGTGTCAGACATGTGTGAGAGAGGAGGAGGTGTACACCTGCAAAACTGCATAAACAAATAATGAGATAGAAGAAATGTAGGGAGTATGTGAAGACTTGCAAAACAAAAAGAGTCAGTGGAAAAATGTGAGAGAGACAAAGAGTTCTTCACTGATCTCACACATTGACATGACTGAACTATAATCTCCTATAGACAGTCCGCTGCTCTGATCACATCACATCAGATCATGTCTTTGCAGATCTCCATTCTGAGTTGCATGTTATTTTTTGGGAGGAATATACACTTATAAAGCATTATAAAATTGCCGGTTATTTGCTAATCATCAGCGATTTGATATGCAGCCGCTTACAGTAGGTGAGGATGTTTTCAAACCACTCTTCTTTCCTCTCACTGGATGCACTGAAAATCCCGCTCTTCTGAGATGGAGGGAATCAAGCTCTTAAAAAGCAGGTACTGGACTGGATTGGATTGCCACCAGCAGTACGACGTCAAACCCTGCCTGCAGGGGAGCTCCGACACTGACTTTGCTGTATTGTAATTATCCCATTTCATTTGACTATTTATTGTATCACTCATCGTGTCTGTTGTACTGCTGCTTTATACTTTAACCTTCTTATAATCGAGAGTTGCCACTAAGGCTAAAACAGCCTGAAAAGGAATCTACCTGTCTGTCCTATTCTGTCTGCTGTGTTCTATTCTCTGCTGTGGAGAACTTTTGAGGGTTCTTTTCTGAGTAAAAAGCACTTAAGTTGCTCGTGCTATGATGATACAAAGTGTGTAGTTAATCACAGAATATATGTATAAATAGAACCACTGGAAGCTTTGAGGTGTGGTTGATACCACTGATATACATTGTAGCTACATGCATTAACTGGGTTATTGTGTAAAGAAACATGCTGGGTTTCAGTTGCTCTTATGGAAATGTCTATGGAAATCTCTACATGCAGCCTAATGTGTGCTCAGCAGAACAAAGGGAAAATACTCTGAGTAATAGTGAGGGGAAACACCAAACACTCCTGCAAACAAGAATGAAAAACACTTAAATTGTAAACATACCAGCTCTTTTCTTTTTTTTTTAAAATTCTATTTATAGAGGTGCACACTTTACAATACTTTCAAGTTCAAAATTGCCTGATTGAACCATTCAGTCTTCAAAGTCTAATTTAGCCACATCTTTGTTCTCGATGCCTTTGAACTGGGCCAATTATGCTCCTTATTTTTGTAAATTGCTAATCAAAGGAAATCACCATGTTTACTCCCTGATACTCACATCCAAAACAAAGTGTCCATGTGCGCAGGTCAATAGTGCACGTTAGACCCGGAAAGGTTTATTTTTACTGGCCAGTTTATGTTGTTATGTGTGAGCGATTCTGAACTGTATATATGATATGAATATAACTCATGCCAGGGCTCCAGGCGCATGACAATGTGGAATCGTAATTTACTACCTCACTTCATCTTTTGGCAAATATCAGTAAGATTTATGAGTTATGCAGAGTTATTCTCTCTGTAGATACCTGTCCTGTTCCTTTGATCATATTTTAGATTTTTGTACAGTTCTTTTGAATTTGGTCTTATATATATATATATATATATATATATATATTCAAAAGTAAATGTTTTTCTTTAATCTTGTTGCTTTACATTCTTATTTAAAACAAATAAGATTAATAAATGGACATACATTTGTAAGAGCTATGTGTTTGTTGTGTCTTGTTCAGTTGCTGGCGGCGGTCACCCTCAACTGTGCTCTCTCACGCACACATGCACACACACCCCACACACAACAGGGAAACGAGTGCAATACACCTGCCTGAAACCCTGCACCCTGCGTCCAGCGAGTAAAAAACCACTTCCTGCTGACACTGCCCTGCCCTCCTTTTCATCTCAAACCACTGTGGTCTCGCTGCATCACCCTCAACCGCCCGGTAACAGGCGCGGAGTGGGTGGGTGGCGGGCACGCTTACAGGTGTTGTGCCTCTGGCCATCGCACCAACCGCGACGACAATCATAATGGCGATGATGACTCAGAGGAATGCTGTCTTTTTACAGAGCATTTGACCCCCGACTCACCATTAGAAAGTTACAATCGGCCGCCCCAGTGTGATGATGATGAGAGCACTTTACGTGCTATTATCCGTGAATCATAATTTTCCACTCATTTGCAAGGCATCAGTGAAGCTACAGCACACACTGGGCTATTGTATGAGGCATTTATGTTTAGTGTGCGCCTGGGTGCTTTTGATGTTGCTCTCTAATTACTATGATTACACATTATTATTCCTTATTAGAACATCAACTTGAGACCCAGATTCTTGCAGAGAATTGTCAAATAATTTTAAAATTACTAGGTTTTTCTCACAAGTCTGATTACGTTAGAAATCTGTATTGTTAGTGCAAATGATGAGTATACTGACTGTCTTGGGGGGGGGGAATTCTCAGCCATTTTGTAATGTACCTTTTAGGGAGGACATTCATGACAGCACTTTGAGATTAACCATATAAAAAGAGGGGGAAATAAAGGGTAAAATGTTTCCTCATGTAAAAGAGAGAATGAATCACTGTAATTGCAGAAAACACGTGCTTCTTGAAACCTCTTTAATGCTTTACTTCTCAATGCAACACACTCAGGGGTTCTGCTGCTGCAGCCTTACTTGATCTGGTATGACCGAGAGCTTACAGTTGCTAAATGCTAGGTAGTGATAGCAAACTTTGGATAATATTGTTCTGTAATGGAGATTACTAAATCAGTTTGAGTTTGTTGACTTAATGACTCTTCAGTGGATACTGTTCATCAAAACTTTCATAGTGTGGCTTCAAGAGTTTCGTTATGGATTGAGAAAATTGTTCTATTTCTAAAGTTAAATAAAAACATTTAAAGCCCACTGGACCGGCTGGAAAACGTATTGTCACAAAGCCGAAAACAGGGCTGATTTTCGCGGCTCAGATTTTGGAGATACATGGTTTTCACTGGACAGCAACGATATGCTTTTGTCCATCTAATAACAGCATTGTATTACCAGTATAAATCTCTGCATGTATCCTTTGCTCCAATATTAATTTCCCCTCTCAGACAATAAAGTTGAAAACTTCAGTCCAGCGATCCATACACGCGTCAGCTGATGACTGAGGTCAAACGAGTTCATGTGGTGAGACTACTGACTCACTCATATTAACTTCCCATATTATCATATTGCGGATCAATATTTAACTTTATTCAACATGAATGCTATGTATTAAAAAAGCCACCTTCTTCTCAGCAGAGCAGTGGGATAAAGAGTGAGACGGAGGAGTGTGTCGCGGGCAGCAGGGTGGACCGGGGTTGAGATATTGAAGTACATAAAGGAAAAAGATGAGGATGGAGGGATGAGATGGGATAGCTTGTGGCCCCAGGAGGCCTATCCCCTGCTGCTGCTGTTGTTGTTTTATAATGAACTCCTAAAGCCTTCATTTCCCTCACTACCCTGAGTGGAGGGGGTGCGGCGATGGGGGCTGCTGAGTCCACAGCCGGATTCGCACGCACAAGCCCCGAGGGTGGCTGCTTTGAGCAGGGTGGGGGGGTTGGACGGAGCAGGGGTGCAATATGCAAGCTCCTGTGTTGTCTGTGTATGTGTTTGAAACAGTCCTGACAGGAGACAGGTGAGGGCAGAAAGGTTTTTGCATATGTGTGTGCGCATACTTGCCGTGTGCACACACCTGTGGTCACTTCAATGGGAGTGATATGCGAGTGTGTGTTTGTAGTGAGGTTTTCAGTGCGGGTGGGGGGTTGGGGTAGGGGGCACAGTCAGCCTGCTGTATGCTGGAGTTTCTCTGTAACCCTGGGACACTGAATGACATATATAATGTAGGACGATGCTGGCGGTAACACTATCTGGTGTGTCTGCACTGGTCTGGTTCAGGTAAAGGTTACTATGCCGGGCTGGGCTGCAGCACCACTGTGCTCTGATAGATGAAGATGAATGGACAAACTGAGGCTGGGGCATTTTTTGAGATATGTATTATATTTGTGTTGCTTAGCAAAAAAGATATTATCCATAGCGACTTACATAGCTCTCAGGTTTATACATCACTCATTTGTGTAAGAACAGTAGATGTTAACTGAAGCGTAGAAGGCTTGGTAGATACTTTGCTCAAGGACACAAAGCGCAGTCGCGTCCTGTAATCAGAACCTCTGAGCCCCAAGTCAAACGCCTAAACCCTACACGACTTCCGCCTCTGGAGAGAAGGCACTTAGATAGCAGCAGCGCTGGGCCGAATCCCCACACCCTGACATCGCACAGAGAGAAAATGAAATGATGAAGAGAATCTGGAAAGATGGGTTTGGTGCAGAAAAAATAGAGGAAAAGAGAGAGAGAGAGAGAGAGAGAGAGAGAGAGAGAGACAGACAGAGTTGTAAATACGGCATGGGGTAGGAATTTGGAATGTGAAATGACTAATGCAATTGCTCAACCCACAACAAGAACACGCACTGCCTAGAGCTATGACAAGGCTGAGTGCATACCTCTATGGGGGGGCCTAGCTCAGAGGCTGGGGTGGACAGGGGATGGTGACTGAGCTCCTCGCAGTGGGTGATGAGACGCACGGGTGTAGCGGCGGTGTAAACATGCGTGATGGTCAATTGAGCAGGCAACAGGGTTGAAATGATGGATTTTCACCTGAGGACGGAGAAAAACAAACAAACTGTGTTACAGTACGAACTCTCAACGTAATAAGATTAAATCCACGAATATTAGAGCAGACATAGAAAGATGGATTAAAAATCATCTCTCTAGAAATTGAGTAAGCCAACTGCCTGCATGATAAACAACCAAACCAAACAACCAAAGTTTAGCCTCTAACAGGATAACAGAGGATATGAGGAAAAAGCCAAAAACTTTCCACCTTCACAGAAAATATGAATGTTTGCCTGTTTTCTTTGTCTTCTATGATATCCATGAGATTATCTTTGAGGTTTGGACAAAACAAGCAATCTGAATATGTCAACTAGTGCTTCTAGTACTGTTGTTGTGATGGCCGTTTATAGCCATGCAAGTGGTTTGGCTCTGGGGACAGCATTATCGTTCAGTCTGTGTGTCGGTCGGTCATTCCAACACTTCCAGCAAGATTGAAATATGTTAACAACTATCGCATGGATTAACACATTGCATAGACATTCATGGTGCCCAGAGGGTGAATCATAATGGCTTCGATGACCCCATTTAATCCAGGGCAATCATCAGATCAAAGGGAAAGTTTGTCCGGTTTGGTTTTCACCAAATACCTGCAAAACGAATGACCTTCCCATAGTTGCAGCCCTATGTGTTCACAAAGAGACAAAAAACTGGTGCTGAACCTTCTTCTGATTTACTATCCACACCAATGACCTGTGCTTGCACGCTTTGTTAAACAATAGTGTGTTAAATTAATGTATTTGAAGGACATATTCAAGTGACAAACTTGCCAGGTGAGGCAAAAACAAAAGCAGCAGCAGCTAGGGCAGTATAGCGCTTGAGAACTGATTTCAAGCTGCAAAGATGCCCTGCAAATGTTTACTGGTACCCCTCCCCTTGACCAGTTGACTGTGAACCCCCCCCCACCCCCTACCTCCCTCCCCCTCCAAATGGGAAACTTCTGGGGGAGTTTGTTCCCATGCTGCTCCTCAGAAACACCTGCAGTGCTAACAGCAGGGTTTACATTGCAGCCGCTGTGATAGGACGCGATAAGACCTCACGCACCTTCATAACTGACTCCCCCCTGCTCAATGTATGGTACTCCTCTGCTTTTCTCTCACAAACACACAAGCGCACACACACACAAGCACGCGCACACACACACACACACTGACCTCCATTAAGCGAAACAAAACTTTCCCAGGTCAACATCGTCCAAGAGAGAAAAACACAGATAAAGGCCAGAGCTATGTGTTCTGTCAACCAGCAACAAATCTGAAAAATAAGTCTGGAATGTCGTCTATGATTATTTGTAATTTCTACAGCTACACAATTATGGCCTTATTTCCCTGAGTGCTCACACTTATTAAATCATCACTGTCATTAAAGGATTCAAACACACAATAATGTGCCGTCAGAATTTATTATCTTTTGAGCCCCGTGAACCACACACTCGGGCTAACCGACACATACGACTTAATCATGAGAGAGTGGTTGAGAGCTGGTGCATGACTGTGGGAAGGAGGCTGTCAGGCAGGGGAAACCCGGTGCAGTACTCCGTGCCATGTTGCTGTTTGTGTTTCCATCCTGGCTAAGCCGTCATCCACCCACCACAGGGGTGGACAGCATCTCTCATCCTCAGAGGTCTGGGTGTCACAGGTGGTATGGCCACAGGGCTGTGTGTGTGTGTGTGTGTGTGTGTGTGTGTCTGTCTGTGTGAGTCTCTGACAGCTGTGTGGGCTCTTTGAGGTCAGACGAAGTGAAGCTGGGATGAAGAGCAAGAGGGCGCAGCAATGAGACCGATCACTTTCTGTCACTGGGGAACGCACTCCTCTCTGAACTCCAGAGAGAGACAAAGGCAAAAGCCTGGGGCAATAATAAGATCATAATAATATCAAATAATATCAGTAAATACAAATAGCTTCAAATAGGCTACAGCCATGGGTAGATTACCCATCACCACCACCTCATTTTTCTGTCTCTGTCTGTTTTGCATAATTTGTGACAATTTTCTTTAGATTATATTTTAGGCATTTTTGTCTTTATTTGACGGTCTGGAGAGAGACAGGAAACAAGGGAAACAAAAGAATGACGGGAATCGACTGTGGACATTGCAATTTTGTGGTATGCGCCTTAACCATTAGGCCACCGGACTTCTAACATTTTGCAGTCTATTTGCGATTGTTTTGAATCATTCTGTGGGCATTTCAAGTGTCTCTTTCGGGTCTTTTGATTGGCTGTCCAACAAGAAACGTCAACAGTAACCTCACACAGAGGTTTTGATATGAAGCCTCCAGGGGGCCACCCCTCTGGTCCCACTTTTCCCACCAGAACCAACCGAGACACTGGGAGCTTATGAGTTTCTCCTGTCATCTCTGACAGGCCCTCATTTGCTTTCATTCAGCGTCTCATTATGGCTTCAAAGACGAGTGGATCATCTGCCTCGGGGGGGAGTGAGAACATCAGTGTGCCTTCAAAAAAATGACTGGTATCCAAAAATTGTTGACCTAAGGCAATTTTGCTCCTCATAATTGGCTTCTCCACTCTGTCTGTCTTGGGCAATCACTGTAGAGTTATGATGTATTATATTGCCTGGAAAACATCATTAAGTATGTTGTGTAAAAGTGATTCAATAACATATCATTTTCCCTTGATGAACAAAACAGTGTTATGGGGGGCGGGGGGGGGGGGGGGGGGGGGTAATCACAGAGTACACAGAGTGCTTTCTTCCTCTACTGAACAATAACTCTGCTGCCATGTTGTCTAAGCAGGACAGGGAGGCTGATCCAGCGCTAAATTTTGTTTGGTTCCAGCTGGAGCACCCAAAGCAGCAAAGCCTGGCATCAGGAAATAACCTTCCTTTGACGATCCAGTGAGGCGGCCACACACACACACACACACACACACACACACACACACACACTATACAATACAATACGCTATATTTTTTAAAACCTTAGCTTTAGAAAATACCTATAAATTTCTGCATCTGAATCCAGGTGTGTGTTAAAATAAAGATAGACAATTATGGGAAACGTGTGTCACATGTGTCTTTTTTGAATTCATATAAAACTATATTTGAGTATTTCAATTTCATGATACTTTATACTTCAACTCCAGTACATCCCAGGGGGAAATTTTTACTCCACTACATTTATTTGAAAGCTTTAGTTACTTGTGGTCAGTTTGTAAAATATACAACACTATATAAAGTCATTAAACCTTGTTCTCCCTTGAAATTAAAATATTGCATACATGTCAATGAATCAGTAATAATATTCTCATATTATATTCATAATAAGCATATAAGATAATTAAAACAATTTCAATAGGGCTGTTTTGCTAAATAAGTACTAAGTACTTTTTTTATCTATTGATAAGTAAGTGATACTTTTGTATTTTTATTTAAGATAAGATCTTTTATCTGTAATGGAGTATTTTCACAATGTGGTTTTGCTATAAGTATAAGATCTCAATACTTTCATATCTCTTATATCTTCCTCAGTGGATTATGACTGGACAGAACTCTATGCGCTATAAACATATATTAAGGTGCAACAATGACCTCAAACTAGGTGTAACCACATGTGAGCTCCCGGTCAGTCGGAGTGGTGTGATTGTGCTCCACACCTGGAGTCTGGATTCCAGTTTGTGCCCGTGGTGCTCAGGTGTGGAGGAAAAACCAGTAAGCTCATCTCATCCTTTCCCGAGGGCTGAAAGATAAAGGACAGACGGAGAGAACCCCACGACCTTGAGAGAGGGAGGTAAACGTGGCTCATGTACCGCTCAGAAATGGTTTGACGGGGGCCTTCTTGCTCCCGTTCTCTACTTCTACTCTATTCTGAGCAACAGGTTAAAGCTGTGCACAGCCAACCACATCCCCTGGGGATGTGTTATGACAACTGAAAACGGTGAACAGCGAGAGCAAGAAGTGGCATGAACAGATCTCAAGGTTTCTGACATGTGGGGGTGGGTGAAAAGGACCTCTGTTGAGAAGTGTCTAGCCTGAAGATACAACCATCAACTCAAGTACCATCAGGCAGCCATGGAAAACTGTCTAGGCTGACTTCTGACTGCTGTGCTGGATGAGGTAAACAAATACAGCTATCACTGGCAAACAGGAGCTCGTCACAGCTCACTGCACTAATTAGGTCAAAGGATGTTTGAATTTGCGTTGCTTGGTCCTGGCCTCATCGATTCTCCCCTCCCAAATCTGTAGACAGAACAGTGAGGGTTGGTGAGAGGTGATTGAGATGCGGTTTTGTTAAGGTGCCAGGCAGCGCCCCAGGATGATTTGCCTCACACTAAATCACCAAGGAACTATTGTGAAATTTTCACAACTTGTTCTGGGAAATCCAATCATGCCACTTTCACACAGTACTCCATGACAGAGTCAAGTCTATGACAGGCAACCTCACAGACAACCTGTCACCTTCCTCAGACGTCCTCTCCACAGAATTCTGTGACTTGTAATCTCACCTTGCTAAAGTTTGATATCTTTAGTTTTGGTGCCTCTGACCGCAGGCGAGAAGGAAGCCTCTGGATGGACAGACAGAAATATTCTGACACCTATCTGTGGAAAAAGAGGATAGCCTAATTAGACTGAGTCAGGCTGAGCTGACAAAAGCTACCCCCAGGACATGTTTCACAGAGTCTTTCCTGTCACATGTCTACATGTCAACAGATTATGCTATATGCTCTCAGAGTTTGTCTTAGTGGGGGAAAGGATCTCTGCTATTACACCTGTCACCTATTACATTTAGGAGAATATCAAATATAATGGAAAATGTAGCCTGAAGCCTAGATTTAAATTTGTGAAGTTTAGTATCAGTTGAATAAACTAAAGGAAATGTTGACTTGCCCATTACGGGCATGGTCAGATTAACTTCTTAGGGGGCACTGGGGAAAAAAATTGTTGTTTGGCCCCTATTGATCTCCACTGTATAGGGCAGTTTCATTATTTCACCAGACACCTAGAGTCCAACCAGCATGCCAGAGCTGAAATGATGAATTCATTAATTAATTAATAACAGAAAATTAACTGGCAAGAATTTTGACAACTGGTTAATTCTTTAAGTCGTTTATAAGCAAAAATGCCCAAAAAACTTCCAGGTTCTTGGATGTTGACATTTTCTTGACTGAACAATCATTTGACAATTAAAGACTTTCTGTGTGTCGATTAGCCTGGTTGACAAGCAGAAAAGGAAGTTTGCTAAAACAAACTTTAAAAATGAGGTAAATATGAACTGAAATAATGAAGGTCTTAAATCTAGATTTTGACACAAAGTCCCACTAGAAAAACTACAAGGCCACAAGATGGACGATGGAAGATCTGACACGGATGATACTGTACATCAGTGGCACAAATTTTGGGGATTAATCAAAATAGAGGTTAATCAAATTTTGTAGAACAAAATTAAATGTAGTAAAACTGGAGGTTTCTGTTGAACAAAACGATGAATTCTCTATTAGGTTTCCTATCGGTGTCTGCTACTGAGTTTAACTGTCACCTAACAGGCGTATCTTCAGTATTTTGTGTAAACCAAAGATCATTCATTTACAAAATCAATATATAAAAATTCATTAAAGTTAATTAAAAGTTATAACTATAGTGTTAATTATAATTAACAGACCACCTGACAAAAATGTCAGAGAAATCGCCGTTAGTCACGTAATAGCTGAAGTACAGACAGTATACCGATGCAATTACCTTTTCAGTATCTAAAAATCGATGCGGAGTGAGCGCTCTCTACTCTTTCTCTTTCTCTCTCTCTCTCTCTCCCCCTCTCCTGGTGACGTAGTGGAGCTTCCGCTTTCCTATTTCCGTACACAAACGCTTGGCTGATGACGTGTACACTCCACTACCGTTAGCTAGGCTGCTAGCTTAGCCACCTGTCAGAATAAAGGTGTTATAAATAAATTAACGACCTAAAGTAAAAGGGAAGCAAAGCGTTTCATTAACTCAGGGGGAAAATGGAGACGCTTTACCACCAGACGAACAAGTGAGTGTGTCTGTATTGTGGTTAGAACTATCTTTGAGACATGTCGCAGCCAGCTAACGAGTGTAACTAAACTAGCTAATTACCAGTGACTTACCTGTAGAAAATTATTATCAACATGGGAGCATTAATGGTCATTACAATGTTTACACTGCTGTTCACTGATGATCATAACTGCTTAAAAATTCACTGAACAGTCGAGTTATATTTGTGTGTCATGTGTCGGTTCCCCTTCACCAATTTAACGTTGTTTGTTCTGAATTAGGCAAATCCAGGAGGTTCAGTCTCTGATGGGAAACCTGGAGAAGACAGACCGTCAGTCGGTACATTGTGAGTAGTCAGAGCTGCCGTTTCTCCTGCTGTTCAATCTGCGTCTCCTAACATAAAATCCAATAATACAATTCATCACCAACCAGGTAAAAATGGACAACTTCAAACAGCAAAAGTCCCAAGTTCACTCCATATCATTTGGATCTATATGCGGTAATTACACATTTGTTAGAAACTTGTACCACAGATGTACCGTATCTACAATGACTGGTCCTCCATGTTGTAGTTGTGGTCCTGTCCTATGGGACTTAAAATGTGTCAAAATCTGGTTTTAAGACTTCAACTGTTTTTGTTTAAATTGTTGTCATTTGTTGTAAAGTTGTGCTTTATCAAATTGCATTCGATTTTTTTGTGTGTGTCAAGTAATTAACACACACAAAACCTCAGGTAGAGTCGTGTTATTCCATCGCAGGAGAAATGTAACCAACAATTGTTTTCATCATCAGTGTGTCTGGCAGTTATTTTCTTTAATAATCGAGTAATAAAATAGCTCAGTGTGTAAAAGAGAAAATAATTGTCAGAATATGGTGAAATGATGCCCATCGTTATTCCTGGAAGCCCAAGTGAACATAAACAAGCAGTTTGATTATTTTTGTTTAGTTTTGTTTGACCAACACAAAAACTGATACATTTTGAGTTTACTGTCACAGAAATCTAAGATACAAACAAATATTCATATCTGAGAAGTTGATACCAGTGAAACTTTAAATTCTCACTAATTCCCAATTTTCCAAATAATTTTCTGTCAGTCAAATAACCAACTGATCATATCAGCTCTATCAGTTGGTTTCTCATAAAAAAATCTGCAGATTAATTGATAATACGCCACACAGTGCCTTTTCTATTTCTATTGAACAAGTTCTCCAATCACAGACCATTTTTCTTAGTATTTGAAATAGATTGCAAGCAGTTCATCGAAACGATGCAGCACTCTAACAACAAAAAGGCTTGTAAAACTCCAAATGTATGTACTTAAGTTAATCATTTTGTGTCCTATTCTTATCTGGTGTGATGTCATTGTGAGTATTGTTTCTGTCTCAACCCCCAGCTTTGTTCGTTGATGATGGGAAAAGACAGTGTAATGGGCTTACATGATTTATCTTAGGGTCACGTTCAGCTCTCCCACCGCTCTGTATATGAGTGTTGTTAGATCAGTGTTGATGACATCACTTCCAGTCCACTTTCCTTTGAATGGTCTCTTAATTTCTACTCAGTACTTGGTCTTTGTTATGGCTGCCTGTTACCCTTTCTGACATAATGACTGTAGGGGGGGCTGGTGTCTCCCTGGTTGATTGTTCTCTGTGGTTGGTGCCTGCCTGATCAGTTCTGGGCCAGGCTGGTGCCAGGACAGGAAGCAGTGGGGTGGGTGCAGTGACAGAAGCTGGGAGGGCTTCTTCTAGATAATGGTGGGAGCCAGGGAGTCGACAACCCTCCCCTTATTCTCCTTCCCAAATTATGACATCAACTTGTATTTAAAACCAGGGGAGATGTAGCATGCTAACCTTACAAAGTTACTAATGAAAGAGGGTGATTCCACTGATAAATGCCACTGTAAAGCTTAATACAACCAGGTGCACAGGAATAAACAGATACCCACAGTCACAGCAGCATGAAGACTGAATTAGGTTGGAAAAGCAGTAAATCCAGATTTCAAACAAATATATGGTTTACCTTAAACAAGAGTCAGTTTTTACCAAATATTTAGGATCCAAAAGGGAAATGTGAGGAAAATCTGATGTAGAGCTGCAACTAATAGTCAATTAATTGATTAATATTTTGATAACTGAGTAATTATTTTCTTTTTTCAAGCAAAAATGTCATTTGCTGGTTGCAACCTCTCAAATGTCAGGATTCGATGTTTTGTGGTGATATTTATCAGTAAACTGGTTATGTGCGGGTATTGGACTTAGTTGCAGCCCTAATCTTATTTACTTTGTGCCTTGTGTGATTAATTGTCATTTTCTGTATCCTCTAATTTTTTTCTTTTTCTTTTCCTCAATATACAAGTGTTAGAGAATGACCTGCAGGCTAGAATCGACCAGATCTTCAACCATTTAGAACGCCTTGAAATTCTGGCCAGCAAGGAGCCACCAAACCGCCGTCAGAACGCCAAATTGTGAGTTTGGAGTGAGTCAATTGATGGTGACCCTAAAGCCCCAGAGCTGGCAGGGCGAGCCATATCTCATAAAGGCAAGGGAGGGTGTAGAAGATGAGACAGGCAGCCCTGTCCTGCCCTGTGGCGACGTGGCTCTATGAAAACATTTCCTCAGAAGCCCCGTCATCACCAGCATTCCTGTTGCATTGGGCAAAGATTCATTTCTGAGCTGGGTAAACAGGCCTTAGGGGACACAGTACACCCCATCCCACAGCACTCCTCTGATCTTGGAGGAGCTCTAGTGGGGCCTGAGTGAAGCTCAGGAGAGGGGGAGACTGCATGAGGATTTGAGGGTAAAATAAATGTTCTCATCAACCAGAGGAGTAAGAATTAAAATACGGTGCAATGAGCAATGTCATAAAATTTATCAAGTAGGTGAGTAGGTTTCTGAAGGGTTCACCCGTTTAAATTTAATATCTTTTTCAGTCATACTGTTCAGAGACTGACAGAAAACCCAGCAGGGACAATTACTTATGAAGTACATTAATTTGTTGACATTTATATAACATTTCTGTCAATGCTTCAGCTGAATAACAATAATTCTTAGTAATAATTAACAAACTATATGCTGATAATATGACCTGGAGTCAGATAAGCAGCAGAAATCTAATATATGTATTAACCAATTACGAAGTTTTTGCTAAAATTGTCCATAATGAGACACTGAGCTTCCAGTCTCCTGTAGCTAACGATTAAACAGCCACAGTCCACAGCTGAAGCAATCTGACTTTTAATTTATATGTGTGTAACATCTCCACTTCATAACAAAGTTCGATCAACAGAGTTTTAACTGTATTCTCTGCTTTCCCTCAGGCGAGTGGACCAGCTTAAATATGATGTTCAGCACCTCCGCACCGCTCTACAGAATTTCCAGCACCGACGCTACGCCAGAGAAGCCCAGGACAGAGAGAGGGAGGAGCTCATGAGCCGCACCTTCACCACCAACGTAAGTCAAATGTGCCTCAAAACAGGCCGAGGAGTAAACCAGACAATAGTAGCCAAGCTCAGGTTGTGGAGCTGGGTATGAATGCAGCATTCTGACGTCCATATCACAGTGTAACATACAGTACAAATCCCTCAGTCTCAAGCTTAATAATGTGGAGTTGAATAAGTGTTTGATCTTGTTCAACAGGATGCAGATACCTCCATCCCCATAGATGAGACCCTTCAGTTTAACTCCAATTTGCACAACGCACACAGAGGCATGGATGACCTCCTGGGCAGTGGCAGCAGCATACTCAACGGTCTCAGAGATCAAAGATCCACATTGAAGGTGCGTGCCTACGATTTACACAGAATTGATAAAGAAATAAAGAAATGGTATCTGTAGCAGAGCACAGGACTTTTACTTTTTGTTAAGGAAGCAGTATAAAGAAGCAGGTTCTCCTGACAGATACAGGTTGAAAGTTCTATTCCCTGACCCACTTTCCGGTGTCTACATTGATCACAATAGTCTCATTGTTAGTGTGCATGTGCTCAGCGTGAGGGTGAGTCCTTGTTTCCAGGGAGGAGATGGTCTTCCTGGTTTTGCTTCAGGCCTCCTCTTATCAGGGTGTGTCTGTTGATCAGCACTCATGGCCCGGGTTTCTAACCATGAGAAACTTCTGACGGAGAGGCACGTCAGGCTGGGTGTTGGCACTCACGTCTCCCAAAACGAGATGAATTAGTTTAGATAATTATAATGTCGTCATTTAATGCCTCCATTCTCCAAAACATTGTGTGTGTGTGTGTGTGCATTTTTTTTAAATGGCTTTTATATCCTAATCTAACACGTGATCGTTACCGTTTGGGCTCTGCACAGGGGACCCATAAGAAGATGCTGGATGTGGCCAACATGTTGGGGCTGTCAAACACAGTGATGAGACTTATAGAGAGGCGAGCCACGCAGGACAAGTTCATCATGATTGGAGGCATGCTGCTGACCTGCGTCTTCATGTTCCTGGTGATCAGATACCTGGGCTGACCTCCATCCATTGATGAGTCGTGGACATTTCCGCAGCACATCATCCCTCGTGATATGAAAAGTGGCAGAGCTTGAATTTTTAACATCAGATAAAGTAATTTTTAATAAATTGTGCCATTACAGTTTGTTTCCCATCATTTTAAAATTTTTGGGAACCTGCAAAATGGTAAGTTGGAAGAAGACCCTAATTACAGACAGTATTTTCATTCCACTTGAAGCTCCAAGAGAGCATGGAATTTTCTGCTGCTGTCCTCAGATTACTGCCACACATCCATAATCTATTTTTTTTTCTTTTTTAAAATCAAAACCACTCTGAAACTGTAAATCACTCTTGTGACTGTACCCACATGGCTTCTTAAAAAATACTTCAACCAGATATTTATCCTCAACTTGCTTTTGCCTCTAGTGAAAAGCTATTTGTTTTGTTTTGTTCCTTTAACTGTCACTAATACTGTCAGTGTCATTCTGCCTTGTTCAGCATGGTTCAACAGAGAATTAGAAATATTCATAATGCTCCATATTTCTTTACATTGCAACTCAAGAATACTCCCTGAAGATTCTCCTCCTTCGTGTGTTATGTTTAATCAGTTGCTCACTCACTAATGCAGTTTAATACAACATTTTTGTTGAAATTGCTATTGAGGCATTACTTAAACTTCATCATTATTTTGGATGTAGTTTGTGGTGCTGTTTAACTGTATTGCATTACACGGAGAGCTGTTTGTTATTTGGCCTCCCCTCAGTGATGTAAAATAATAAAGACACCTCTGCATATATAACACAATTGAGCAGCACCGCAAACTGTAACCTCCAAAATGACCAGCTGAATCAGCACCTCTCTAAAACAGTATCGACGATTTACTGCAGGACTGTTGTATCAGACTGCATTAGGTTCAGCTAGCTGTACCTAATAAACTGGTGTATAATTTTGGCAACAAATATGCTCAGTTGCCAGAGATAAACAAGATGACAAAGATCTTTTGGGAGGTAGCAGTCATTTTGTAATTGTTACACACCTTCTCTTGGATTTATGCTTGAGTCCAGTCTCACTATGTGAGTGATTTAATTTTCTTAATAGAATAAAACATGTTTCATTTCCTTGGTGTCTTTATCTAATAAATCTGCTGGAAACATTAACATGGTTCAGTTAATACAGATTTTTTTTCCCCAGATTTAATCTTAATAAGAACACTCCCTTTCAATGTAAGAATTACTGGTAGCTAAGTCCACTGCTACAACACATTTTGTGGATTTACTGTTTCACAAGTTTATTCAAAGCAACTACGACTCCATCTAGTGTTTCATATTTGACACTGATCTCTGCAGGAACTGCTTGCCTGTCTGACTGCAAGTATCCTCATGTGAATTTCATTAACTCGTTTACATATTATGGAAAAAGACACATGAACTCAAGATTTTATTTGCTGAAACAGAGTAAGTCTTTAAAAAATACAGGGTTGCTACTGTTTGACCAATCACTATCCTTCACCATCCCAGCCCGTCTTAGCTGGGGTAAATTAGAAACAACCTTGATAAAATACATAGTGTCCATCTTCCATCCAGCTGGACATTCTGTTTTTTCCAACAGCAGTTTCAAACCTCTAGAATGTTAATAGGTTAATCTACAGCAGTTTTATTTACAAAATTACACAAAAGCAAAACACTGCCCTCCTTTTAAAGAGCATTTTGGAAAATAATTTAAAAACAGAAAAATACAATTATTGCAGTATACTACAATCTTATTGTTACGTGATGCCAAAGCACCATCTTGATGTACAGATTTCAGTGCAATTCATTCAGGTGTACCCTCACCACAAGGGAACATGAGCTTTGCCTCAGAGCATCAGGGATATTAAAACCCCTACATCACATTTCCCCTCACTTACTAAGGGGGTTCTTAAGTGACAACGTCATACCGATGGGGACACCATAGCTGTAATTTCATATGGTCATCATTGGTGGGATTCTTCACATTACACACTGATATATGTACAAGTTTACTGCATTACAAATTATTTTGAGACCAGGGATCCAATAGAAAGCAAGTAGTCATATGAGAACAGAAAGCATCAGTAATTATGAAATTGTCTGTCTCAGAAGGTTACATTACACAGTCGAAGCTGTTCATCTCTAGAACAATACACTTCCTCCTCCTCATCTCCTGACATGATTCTGCTTATAGCTTCAGCCAGTGTCCCTCTTTGGCTGCCAAAATGAGCAAAAACTGAGAATAATATTTTTATGTGGAAAACAAACAACAAAAAAAAACTCCAGTGGTTTCTCTGATTTGTCATCAAAACATATGGGTACTGTTTAACATTCCCCCTACATGGAATATAAACCGATGTCTTGAGGAAGTCTCTTTAAATCGACACCCTGTCTTAAAAATTCAGGGCAAACCATGAAAAAGTCTCACATGAGCCAGAAGAAAATTTTAGTGTCAATTTTAAAGCCAACACGAGCAGCACCACTTTGTGGCTACAACTTGCTGCAATGTGTAGGCCAGTAAAAACTGTGGTTTATTGACCAGCTTCCTGTCTCACTGACTGCACAAAGACTTGATCTAAAACTCCAAACCAAGACAGTTCAGGTCAAGTCTTTCCCCTAGAGCTGTGAATAAACTCCTTCACTTGCATCATTACTCAAGAGCCATGGTTAGGTGGGTGCTGGAGGTCCTGCCCTGAAAAGATTGGGTGTAGGAGTGGGTGGAGCTGGAGAGCTGCTGCTGCAGCAGCCTGTGAGGGCCGAGGTGTGAATAGTGTGGGGTAGAGGGCTGTGTGTGGGACATGGTGGAGAGCTAAAGGGGTGTGGTGAAGTGCAGAGGCTGGGATAATATGTATGGGCTGACCAGAGAGGAAGGCTGTTGGATGGGCAGGAATCAGCCCTGCATGTCCCAAAGAATGTCCCAGAGAGTGACCGAGGGAGGGGCCCAAAGGAGACAGGGAGATGGGGGTAAGGTGGTGCTGGGGAATGTGGTGTACCTGGGCTAACTGGGCATGTGCATGGTGTGGGTGGTGAGGATGTGCTGGGTGGATGCCCATGGCTGCAGCAGTGGCGGCATGGTGCTGCAGGATGGCGTGTTGAACTGTGGTGATTGACGTGCCGGAGGCCACTGACACGGTTGGCTGCTGAATGTGGATCTGTTGCAAAGCTGGTGGAGGGGGGGCTGGGGCCAGGTTGGCAGCGGCAGCAGCGGCGGCGGCTGCAGCAGCAGCAGAGGGAAATGTCTTGACCTGTTTGGCCAAAAGCTGCTGCTGGATGTGCTGCTGTGCAGCCTGTTGCAGCTTGCTGTACTTCTCCATTTCCTCTGGTGTGAACGTAATGGGCTGACTCTCCAAAGGAGCCAGTCCATCTTCCTCTGCCTCCATGCCATCTTCTTCCAGGTTGGGTGGTGGATAAGCAGGGTAGGCGTGCATTGGAGGAGGCTGCTGCTGCTGCTGCTGCTGCTGCTGCTGCTGCTGCTGCTGCTGCTGCATTTCTGGCATGAGGGACTCCATCATGGGGTTCTGAGAAGGGTCCTGTCCTGACTCTCCTTGGTACTGAGGCATCATCATGGAAGGTTCCTGTTCAAACAATGGCCGGGGTTCTTGGTGCACTTGGGCTTCTGTAGTGGGGTGCTGCGTTTCTTCTGGTACCACTGTGCTCTGTGGGGCCTCCTCAACCTTCTGGACTGGTGGAGCTGGAGGTGGTGGTGGAGGAGGGAACTCCCTTATAGGCTCTACCAGGATAACCTCTCCCTCAGCCTCAGAGCCTTTCCCTGGTCCTGACTTCTCTCCCTCATCAGGTCTGGTTAAGGGAATCACTGGTTTCTTCCCTGCCTGCAGCTTACCAAAAAGTGGAAGCATGGCTTTATTTCCCAGTGTGGGGGGTAGTTTGGGACCAAAGTAACCCTGTGGTGGGTCCTTAATCTTAATGCCAGATTTTGTTCCAGTGGTAGAATCATCAGCACTTTTTTTAGACTGGACCTTCTCCAGAAGCTGGCGTGCAGTAAGCGAGTTTTTCTGTTCTCCTGCATCTCGGGACCCACCTGGCCTCAGAGCCTGTGAACTAGATGAATGGGTGTTGCGGTTAAGGCCTCGTGATGAAGATGATCGTGGAGACTGGGAGCGGTAGATGCGGGAGCGGTTGAAGTCTCTGCGATGTGTGTCACTGTCTACTCGACCCCTGGCGCCTCGTCGGTGAGGGGAGCCTTTGGCTGAACTGGAGGAGCGGCTGGCAGAGCTGTGGCTACGGCTGTAGCTGCGCCTCCAGGATCTTGCACTGGTGCTGCGGCTCCAGCTACTGGAGCTTCTCGAGCTGCTCCGATGGTGCCGCCGGTGCCTTTTTCTGCGGCTGTAGCTGCGAGAACGTGAGCGGGAGTCATCTGAGGAGGAAGAGGAGTACTGATGTCTCCTGGATCGTCTACGTCCTCGGCTACCCCTGCGCTCATACTCCGAGTCTGATGAACGTTTGGAGCGCCGCCGTCTGCGACCCTCAGTACTGTAGTCACTGTAGCTGTCAGAGTAGCTGCGACTACGGTGGCTGTAGGCACTGCTGCCTGCTGAGGAGCGTTCAGAGCTGCTGGAGTACGAGTGACTACGGGAAGTTTGGCCACGATGGCGCCGACGGCTGCTGCCTCGTCTTTCCCCTCGTCTTGATGAACGACTGCAGGACCGCCTTGATTCCTCACTATGGTGGCGCCGTTGTTCCCGAGGACTTGACCTGTGATGACGTGAACGTTGAGTGTTGGAGCCCCCTTCTTCTTCACTCTCACTGCTGGGAGGTCTACCAGGACCAGGACTCTTTTGGGCTGAGGTGGAGCAGGAGGCACTTTGAGGTGCACTGGAGTCAGTCTTTTGTCGCTTGGTGCCACTGTGCTCCTCTGAGGAGTTGGCCTTGTCTGTGCCCTTTCTGGCTCCTCCTTCCTCTGCTCCAGACTTGCAAGGCACTTCCTTAGTAGCACGTTTTCTCTTCCCCAGCTCTACTCCTGTATTTCCTGTAGCTCCACCCCCTCCAGTTGCCAAATGAACAGAGGACGAAACAGCTTTTTCTTCTGACTTTGGTTTTGCTTTCTCCTTTTCGTCACCTGTTGCCTCATCTTGATCTGGAGCTTTGTTTTTGCTCTTCTTCCGTTTGTGTTTTTTCTTCTTTTTGGGCTTTTCTTGTGTTACCTCAGTCTCTCCCTCTGCACCTTCTGCTGCTCCTTTTTCTTTGCCTTTGCGTTTTGAGTGCTTTGCAGACTTCTTATGCTTCTTCTTTTTCTTTTTTTTCTTGGCACTACTGCTGCCAGTTGCAGGCTTTTGCTCATCAGCCTCTGATTGGCCAGGCTCTCCCTTCATCATTGGTTTATCTTTGTCAGTGCTGGTCCCAGGTTTAGTGGTTGAATCTACTTCAGCTGTTGAGGCTGCTACCTCTTGTCCCTTGTCATCAGACTCTTCACAAGGCTTAGGGGACTTCGCTGTTTTCCCACCACGCACTCCTTTGTTGCGGGACAGCTTGAAGTCAAAGTAGAGGGGATTACAGCTGTAAGACAGGGATGGCTGCGCTTTTGTAAATTCGAGGAGCTCAGAGGGCCACTGCAGGGTGGTGCTCTCATCTTTGCTGAGAACTGGGAAGAAGGGACCGGTGGGGATTTTAGGGCCTGAAGTGGAATCCAGAGTATCCTGTGTGCTCTCTGCCTTTTGTGTGGGTGAAGTGGGTACCACTGTGGGTAGCGTGGAAGCTGTGTCTGCTGCGCATGAAGAGTCATCCTCTGTCTTCACGTTAGGTGATAGAGGGGTCGGCTCTGAGTCAGGGGATGCAGGGGCATTACCTTGTTCTTTTTCAGTCTTACATTCTGTAACATTGGGATCCGTCTGTTCAGGACTAGCTTCAACTTTTTTCTCCTCCTGCACTTCCTCCTCCTCTTCCTCTTCTTTGTTCAGACACTGATCAGTGGCCTTCATGAAAAGCAAAAACTGGAAGTGAGGCTTTACCCGGCAGTGAGCTGGAGGTACATAGTGATAGTACTGAGGCTCCTGCCCAGCATATCCTTCCTCCTTTTTCATCATCATCTTCAGTTTATTAAGTGTGGAGGCTAGAGAGCCTCCATCGTCAGGCTGCTGCGCCTCCTCCGTCCC